CATTCTGCTAGCAGAAAGATGTAAAAATAACAAAGTAATAGTCTGTGAGGTAAGCAGTGACCTCACACTGTTTCATTCACATTAGGAGTTGCTTGTAGCCTGATAAAAGTATTATGACCAAACAGTCTGTTTTACCATTTAGAAAGAAAACATATTTCTGTCATCTTGCCAGCTTATCCTCCCACCCTACAAAAGCCTGTTTATGGTACCTGGATGGGAAAGACTGGCCAAGATGAGGATGGATGCCAGCATCCTCTCTCAATACAAAGTCTACACAATAGCTTCAAGAAGTCCCCATTCATCATACTGTTTTGGTTGTTTAAGTATTAAGGTGTTTTCTAACAGGAGACAAAAGTTTTCAGAGGCGCTGAAGGATCTAGGAAGCAGAGATTTTGCAACATGGTAAAAAAAAAATACTTAGTTCAATAGTCAATTATTGGGAAAGAAGGGGTTAACTGAAGATAATCCATTTGCTAAAGGAGTCTATGAGCAATTTAATGTTTATCGCCACTCTTACTCAAGTGGAACCCTGTGAATGAGAGTCATTATTGGTGAGCGTTTTCCCCATCTGATAAAATGTCATTTTATTTTCACTGTAAGGAAGACCCAAAATGGCTACGACTCGAAGCCTAAGTAAGGCCATGGAGAGTCACTCCAATAAAGTTATTCAGTCTTTCCCGCCCTTAAGAAATGTTTGTGATGCTGTTGTCACAGGGTGAAAGAATGACAGCAGTGCTCAAGCAAGCCAAACAGTTTATGGACGGCCGAGAACTTAAAAACACAAAAATGTCTCTGGGCACAAGGACATAAGGAGGTTTTTGAAACATCGTGTACACATATTGAGTGCAGTCACTACAGAAACCACCCCCCATTCTAGGCTAAAGTAGTCAGGCCAGTTTAAACCCTTCCTACCTTTCCTAGGAAAGAGGCTTGCTCTAATGGGTGAGTTACTGGGCAGGTCATCACAGGTCAAATGAAGGCTTTCTTTTCCAGATGATGGACCTGCAATGTATAAACATCCTGAATAGTTCAGCATGCTCCTCGACCACACAACACACACACACACACACACACACACACACACACACCTCTTCTTACCTTTTATAAAATTCTAAACAGTTCGCCATTCCCACAGACACACACACACACTATATTTTATATTAATTTGTTTAGCAGCCTTTCTTAACTCTTCACCACTCTGCCTGACCTTTGTCAGTCGCCTTACAAAGATGGCCAAATACTCTTTGGTACCCTGTATAGAAGGTAAATTCATTTGTCTGAAAGGGCAAACTAGACACCTACAAAAGAGCATCATTTTTATATGGTATTATGGAGTAAGTGTCCTTTCACCTGCTAAGAAGGAGAGATGGTTGCTTCATGTTAAATCTATAGGCAGAGTCATTTTATGTTAATTAAGTCATTCCTGGTAGGTTGATATCATGGAGGATTTTAGGTGAGTATGAGTTCAAAGAAGAAAAACATAACGCCCAATCCATAGTGTAAGAGACCAAAGGTATAGGCTGGAAAAGTAAACAGGACCACATGAAGTTATTGTCAACCTGGTAGGTATGATACTGGACAATTAATATCATTTTCCAATCCCCAGGTTGCCAATATAACATTGTGACTTCTATAACAAAGTTATGGGATGGGGCTCGAATTAGGAAACAGGTTTCAAACATTTCTTGGGCTTAGAACATAACGTGACTGTATTTGTTATTAGGACTACATTTGAATTCCTTTCCAGTCCCATACTTTAAAGTGGTCCTAGTTCCAATAGTTACATAGCAGCAAAATTCCTAATTCCTTAACTAACTCTATTCTTGTGCTTTTCTTCGAAGTCAGAATAAGAACATGAGAGAAAGCACTATCTTGTGCTTAGAAAACCACTTTCCATGTGATCTCCTTTACAGAAGAATGCCTGTTAGTGATGTTCAAAGATGTATCCTTTCCAGGATTATAAACTATAGTGTTATAGTGCCAGATTAAACATCATGTTTGCTGGGATGCTTTGCTGCAGCTGTGGAAATATTCCTAATCTCAGGCAATTGCTTAGACCTCAGAAGGAACAGAAGGTCAAGCCAAACACCATTCTTCAGGAAAGGAAGTGTAAGTAGTGTCAGTGGGCAACTAAAACATGGTAACAAACAAACAAACAAACCCTATATCCTTAGATCATTAAGCTTACAGAATCATTTAAAGGAAAGCCAAAATAGCCCCCTTTATGCACACCATGCTTTGATTTCTAAAATTGTGTTCATCACTAGTAAAAGTATTAGTGTGTCAGTTCAAACCCAAGATGCATTTTCCATACCATAGTTAATTAAGCTATTTTTAATTAATCTGTGAAGTGTATATTGTAGAATTCATATTCCTTAAAAACTGATCTTAAATCAACGGACACAGATGGACATGGATAGACCCCTGGGAACACGGAATTAAGAAATCGGAATCTTCTCTGATGATGCCTCACAGATAATTATTCTTGCCTTGAGATAACTCATGGTTGGCAAAACAAATCAGTCACATACAAAAAAGGTAACCCAAAGGCTTCCTTCAGGTTATAATCCCTTCACACATGTGGACATAGCAGAGAGTGTCCTAGTTAATACTTGGACAGTTTTGGTATTACTTTAAAATTCTTCATATTTCTTCAAATAAAATAGGAAAGGTCTTATTTGTCAATGATCTCAAGAAGAGCAATACCCCTTGTTCAATATTGCCAGAAAAATTTTTTTGTATTCTCAGTGTGCCTCCCTTTGGAAGTCCCTACGATTCGCTAGTGCACCGGTTCCCACATACCTCCCCACACCTGAGGGGTATAGCTCAAGGCTGTGCACAGTTTTTTGAGTTTGGGGAAAACTGAAACTGCCCCCTTCTCCCTTTTAGATGCCATTGAGTTCATTGTGGAACTAACTTTTACATAAAACCCACCAACACATTAATACCTAAGAGTTCTTTGCTTTTCCGTAGAACAACTTTAAAAGGCCCAAGTCATTTTTGTTTTTGTAATGAACATGAAAATGATCACACTAAGAAAGAAGCCACGCACAGCTTTACACCACCCCAATAATATCGTAGAATTCATTGTTCAAAACCAAAAAAACTGTGAAAGTCCCTCCGCCAACTTTTGCACTGGAACATTTTGATAGGAATGGTGCAAAGATTTATTTATTTTTTTTATTTATTCATTTTGGTGGTTTTCGGCCCATGGCTTCAGTAGCTCTACTTGATTTTGGCTTTCTCTGAAGAGGGGGGTCACAACCACAACATCTCTACCGTATCAATGAAATTTTCAAGCTCATAGAGGACTGCCACCAGGATGCATGTACATGCCGGATATATATCCGCGATGTTCCACAAATACGCCTTATTTTTGAGATCAACAGTATGATACATTCTAGTTCCTTTCCTATGTTTGATATTCTCTGATTTGGAAGTCTTACATTTGTACCTTTCCAAGAGCCATATTTATGATCAAAAGATGCTACTTGTTATGAGTTCAATGCGGCAGGATTTTGATTTTTAGGACAACCTAAGCTACATAGCAATTCCAGGCCAGGTTAAGCCACACAGCAAGATCCTGTCTATAAATAAATAAATATGTAAATAAATAAATAAGGTACAACAAAAGGCAGAGGGAAATGATCACTCTTTGCCTTTATAATTCTTACCTATGCTTTAATCTAAGAGCTTCATATAGTTTATTTTCAAGTTGTGAATTCCATCTGTCAAATGATTTTGAAATACATGACACAAAACTATGGCTTAAAGAGTTAGTAGAAGGAAGCCTCATGTGAAAAGCATGTCAGCTTGCCATTCTGAAAAGCAACTCGCCCACACGAAATAGTCAAAAAGGACTTCATTTAATTAGTGAAATGCAGAGTTTTGCATAGAAAAAGATTACAAAGTAATACAGAAAAGACTAGATACAGTAATTTTAAAACAAATATTTATGAGTATAACTTTGCATAATGTTCAACATTCTCATTTATTGCTTTCTCCACACAGCAGAGAAACGAAGTGCATAAGAATACACGCTGTGTTCTTTATCTTTCGAATATAAAATCTCACGTGCTCAATTTCAATGTAGTAAGAGATTATTTTGTCATTTAAACAAGATTAAAAAAATCAAAACCAAAACACCATTATGTAGCTCTAGTCTAGGCATGGACAAAAATAATTTATGTACACTTCATTGCATACATTCATTGTGATTTGGGATCAAATGCAATTGCTAACTTGACCAAGGGCATTTAAAGCATGTGGTTTTTCTCTTCCAAATCTTTTCTCCTTATCTCATTACCCCCAGAAATGCAACATCCCCTGCCTCAAAAAGGGACAAGAACAGACATTACATGTTGTCAGGAGAAAACTGAAGAAGTTAAATATAAAATCATAGCCCAAATGTAACAGAATAAATTAATCTGAACTTGCCAACTAAAGAGCTTTTGAGTTGGCACCAATGAGACTCTGGTGGGCACACGGCAGGTAATTGCTTCGAGGTGCATTGCACACCTGTAAGTTTACAGAAAGAAACACTAGGTCCTAACCCATGTCTCACTGGAGTGTATGGGAGCTTGAAGGCAAAGCAGAAATGTCTGTTAATGTGGGCACTGGCGGAATTGGTTTTTACATCAATGCGTTGCTAAATATCTCTACTTAGCAAGTCTGTTTACAGAAGACAAAGACAAAACTATGTCTTTCAACTTAATTTCCATCAATCTTTATGGCCAATAAAACCTGCTGGTTTCTAAAGAGTCCTGTGTCTGCAGTCTAACACACGTTGTCTGTTCCTTCCCTTTCTCAACCTAACAGCCATGCCCTTCTGATCTCGTGCTCATTACATTCCTTAGCTCAGGCACTTAGAAAACAATATATATATATATATATATATATATAATATATGTATATATATTATATATATATGTGTATATGTATATCCCTTCTCGTTTCAGGAGAATTCGGGTATGGCATTTTTTTATTCTTTTTTTTTCCCCCCAAGTCAGAAGTATTGATGCACCACTGGATGATGACATCCATATATTTTCCGGAGAAAGCTAAATGGAAAAAGATGTGACGTTTTTAAGTTGCTGATGTCAGTTGCCAAGCTGCCTTAAACAAAGGGAAAAGCATTTCTGTTTGTGACGTTTGCTTCTCAAATCGCTTTATTGCTACTGAGTGGCTCTGTAGGTGTCTGTGTGGTGACCTTCAGGGTGCAGAGGTTTAGAAGCCGATTCTGAAATGGGCATTCAGTTACTATCGCCAGAAATTCAAGAATAACTTAAAAGGCTCCAACTTCTGTCCCCCAGGGTCGGTAAGGTTTACTGTTTGTCCCATTGCTTGTCTGCTGAGGACTGGAGGCAGCTGACACTGCCAAGGGTGGGCTGATGGCTGTTGCAGCAGCAACTGCGGCTGCTGCATTGGAGGGGAGCATGGGAAAGGCCCCGGCGAAGGACAGAGGGAAGCTGTGTGCAGCTGCGGTGGCTGCTGCGGCCGCGGCATGCACGGTGGCCGAAAGAGACAGGAGAGAGGTGGACAGAGGTGGCGCACATGGTGCAACGGTGCCTGTTGATGGCATCCGAAGAGCTGAATCTGCATGGGCAAATGTGGCTGTGAGGAGGGCAGAGCCGTGGGCAGGAGGCACTTCTGAAGACGTGGAGAGGCGACATGGGGTTGACTCCGATGTGTGGAGTCCGTTGGGTTGGAGTAGGGCCGTGGGGAGATGGTGGAAGGCTGCTGCCCAGTGGTGTGGGTGCAGCGGGTGGTGGTGGTGGGCCATGGAGGATGTCATCACTGCTGCCTCCCGCTGGGAGGCACAGGTACTGAGATGGGACACAAGGCGCACGCGCAGTGGATCTGATGAGTCAAGGCCTTCCACTGAGCTCAGGTACCTAGCCACTTCTGTCAAGCACTCTCGGAATCCAATGCTCATGAAGTCCATGGCGAGAGCATGGGCATCGAAGTAGCCTGAACAAGAGATGAGGAGAGTCAGAGGTGAGAGGGCGAAAGAAGGAAAAATGGCTTTGAAGAGCAAGCCCCCACTTAGGTTCCACTCTGGTCTCTTGAAAAGATAGGGTGGCTCTTTCTGAAGACACATTGGCTGCTATGTGCATGATTTTGTGCAGGACTGAAGAAAGGATACTCTGCAAGTAGCATGCACAACGACTTTAGCAACACTATAGTTAATCTAGGATCTAAATGTCGCAAGAAGAAAAATAATTAGGCAATTCGTGTTTCAAGTGGAGTGGGAGGGGATGTCTCAGCTTTAGTCTTGTGGGGTAATGACTTTCCTCAACGATACTTTTCATGGAAATGGAAAACGTTTCATGGAGCTGGTAATTTACAGGGCTTTTCCAGGACCGGACCCGGGACCTGTGCATTCTATGCCAGCACTCTGCCTCTGAGCTACCCCACTAATCCAAATCAGGTTCTTTACATCTTGACATCAAAAGCATTTACAACACATCATTCATGCTTTTACAGAGCAAAATTTGCCTGTTTCCTTTAGGCCACTTTATAGTAGAAGCATTGTGAAAAACTGTTGATATATTTATTGGGTAAACTAGAAGTGAGAGAAAAAACTGTTTGAGCAAACACAGCCACCAGGAAAACAGAGACAGCACCAAGATGAGCAAGAGGCTGTCATGAAGTGTGGGGTGTCATGAAGTAAAACTGGGTTTCATCCCAGACCCTGGAGTGGTCATTAAGCAAAGTCTCTGGGACTGGGGGTATAAGTTGCTCCATGTGAGAATATTGCACAGAGAGATTGCACTCCCCTGCCTTTAGGGTCCCCATCAGCCCCGTTTCACAGGAGGGATTAATGCTCAGAGTTCAGAGATACCAAAAACTCAAGATTTTGTTTCTCTCTAGAAATGACTATAATTCTACAGCAGACTGAAAGCGACACGCTAGCTTATTTGAATTTCACTGGTAGGTGTAAAGTGGCATTTGAGGATTGCTAGCTCTGCAGCTGTATGTGGCTGGGACTTGCTGTACCTTAAGGGATAGGGATCATTCAACTCCCATTCTGCTGTTGGAAGCAGAAGGAAATGATGGTGAGCAGCTGTCTCCTAAATGTGGGTCTTGAGCCAAGGATAACACATGCCTGTAACCACTTCATCTGTACCAGGGAAGTTCTGTGGCCTTCAAGCCAAATAATTAATTTACAACCACCTGTGAGGAGCCCTTCATCATTGTATCCATGTTACAAATGATAAAACTGGTGCTCAGCTATTGCTTAACTTAGCCCTGGGACAGAGCTTATGAACTGGAGAACCGGAAGTCACAGTCAGGCAACTGCTCTAGAGTCCGTGTCCTTTGCCAGCACACTGGATGCAGCTGGGAGTCTGGGCGCATGAGCAAACACTGGCAACTCCTCTTGATCAAGACGTTTACACATTCTTCTGGGCAATGGCCTCTGTAGTGACCCTGAAGTCAGGTGACTTACATGACATCTGGTTGGAAATGTCTATTCACTAACTAATCTGGGATGGATTTTAGGATTTCTCAAGTAGTCAGGAATAAGAACTAAGATAACACCTGTTGTAAAGCCAAGGGACAGTCTTTCTCATTAGGAGCACAACTCATGCCAAGCATTCGAGGTTCTGGTAGCAATTTCTCACCTCATGAATACCAGTGCGGGAAGGGGGGGTAGAGTAATCACATAGCTTTCCTTGTACCACTCCTAACTTCACTGGTCTCCTGAAATCCCAAGGCGGCAGGTGTAGAGGCTGTCACACTACTTAGGGCCCATGGAACATATTCTGCTACTTTAACCTTCTAAGACCAGCAGGTGGCTTCCAATTCAGGTCAAAGGTTGTAATCCAGTTGCGTGGGACAACCAACTTCTAAGATTTAACCATTAGCATCTATGTTATAAGGATATTTGCATCCTATACTCTTCTTCATTCATTCAAGACAGTTTCTTGAGACATTGTGACCTGAGGCAAATATATCATATGGACATCATGTATAGTAATCTTCCCTACAGACATGAGTAGAAGACGGTTTGAGTCAAGGCTAATACTTCCTGTTTTCAGATTAGTAAAAGTGACTTGCCTCTAATTCCCTGCCTTGCCCTGCCCTGCCCTGCCTTGCCCAGATCTAGGACCTGCAGACTGTTGAAGAAGCCTAAATATGATGCATCTAGTAGGCCTTCAGCATCCAGTTGCAGCACTGATTTCTCTATTCAGTAGTGAGATATTCTTAGCTGAGATGAATCTCAAAGGCATCCATAAAGAAGTCTGGGTGAGTTGGGAGGAAGAGGGATAATGAAATGTGAATGAATATTACAGCCTTCACAGTTTCATTCATCCCTAGTATAAGGGTCCAGTACAGGGGACATTCCACTGTGGCATGGGGTCAGTCCTGGATATCTACTCTGGTGAGGTCTCACTAGGAACAGCCTGTTATGTTGTTCTTTCAGCAGAGATTCAGTACCTGTACTTCAAATGTTGTGGTTGGTATAAAGTAAAAACAATAACAAAAATAATTCTAGAGTCACTTCCATTAAATAGCTAAATTATTTCAGTTCTAGCCTTGATTTAATAAAAGTGTGTGTGTGTGTGTGTGTGTGAGAGAGAGAGAGAGAGAGAGAGAGAGAGAGAGAGAGAGAGAGAGAGAGAGAGAGAGAGAGAGAGAGAGAGAGAGAGAGCTCCAGTCTTGCTTATATTTGGCTGTTTGTGTGTTTGTTTTAGTTTCCTGTGCAGATCCTAGCATGCACTTCTCAAATCCCAAACAAACTTCTGTCCAGGCTGCTGTGAAGGCAGCTTTACTCTCACAGTATTAGGGAAGCAAACACAAGTTCAGGGTCAAGTGCTTCTTTTGTTCTAGAAGTCCTTTCCCAGGAGTTCAATCCTGCCATTAGCATTGATTGCTCAGCTTTAATCTGGGGCTGCCCTATCTCAGCTTGTTAGGGGGCTGTTCAACTGTAACTTCCTTAGATTCCTTAGAATAGTAGAGAGAAAAGATGAAAAAAGAGGTAGAATGTGGGGGTGAACAATGGTACCAACTCTTACCTTTACCCCCTGTTGCCTGAAGCATCTTCAAATGATCCACAGTCATTTGCAATATTTCAGCCTTTTCCAGTTTAGCAGATCCCTTCAGAATCAAACAACAAAGTCTCATGAGTCCTACAGAAACTAACTTAGTACTCCAGTTCCAATTTTGCCTCTCATTATAAAATTCTATGTTTAATTTCATCACAGGAAAAACCTGAATTTCTTTTACTTTAAATTTTAATTTTGTGTGTGTGTGTGTGTGTGTGTGTGTGTGTGTGTGTGTGTGCGTGTGCCCGTGCGCACGCACGCTCACGCTCGCGCTGTAGGTATCTATGCAAGTTAGGGCACATGAACCTGTTGAAGCTGTTGTGAGCACCCAGTGTGGGTACTGAGACCAAAGTTTTGTCTCTCTTAACTTTGGAGCCATCTTATCAGCCTCCTAAGTCTTTCTAAACTTTGTATAAAAGTACTAGTTACAAAGTATAAAAGTAGCAATGACATCAGCTTGTAATGCTAAAGACCAGAACAAGGCAACGAAGAAATGATTTGTTAAACAATAAAAACAATTATATTCCTAGAAATGATTTGTTAAACAATAAAAACAATTATATTCCTAAGATCACTCTACAAACACTATACCAACAGTAAAAGTCTCAGACTTTGTACTGAATCTCTACCTAGATTATATATTTCATTAAGTTACATTCATTTGTCATTACTATTGAAGGCTAGAGCAGTTAAACAGTTGAATGTTAATTCTGGAGTATGAGGACATAGTATTTTAACAAAACATTGAAAGTAGAACATTTAAAAGAAGAAAATTCCATTGTTCTTAAGGTAACTTATAGATACCATTACTAAAAGAAACAAAATAGGAAAGGACTTTCAAGGTTACCAGCAGGTGTCACTGTGAATTCTAAGATCACAAACAAAAAGGACTAATTCAAAGTTTACTTAAAGAGCATCATATATGCCTAATGATTTTCCAATCATTCAAAACTGCTCTTAATAAAATAGTCTTGCAAATACATTTTCATTGATTGCTCCTCTTCTTAAAAGAAAGCGACCTTTGAAAACCAACAGAAACAAATGTACCACTTAGAGTGTCTTGGGGGCTGTGGTGGCTTCTAACTAACTTCCTAGATGAGTGGAATAATTAAACCAATATGTGGGTATGTTATTGTTGTTGTTGTTCTTTTGATGTGTGTGTGAAGAGAGTCCTGATGTTTATTTTAGGTTCTAGATTCCTATACTTGGTGCTTTTAAATTTTTTATCTCTTTATTTTTTTTATCAGCACCTAGTAAACAGCAGAAGTTTCAGTTCTTTAGCTGTTCTAAAGAATATTCTTCTCCTCTAATTGTGACAGGGCCAAGTCACTAGGGTTGGCAGCCAGATTTTGTAAATGGGAGTGCTTGTGTTTATGGTAACTAACTGCCAACCACTGAGTCTCGCTCCTAAAGTTTATGTCAATATTTATGAAAAAAGCCTAACAAACCAGGATTAAGAAAAAAGAATCACCCAGGTGACTGCTTCTTAATGTCACAATGTAGATAGTTCAGTACTTAAAAAAAGGAAAAAAAAATCGTAGTTATTGCTATGTTCATTTGCAGCAATATAATTTCACTTATAGTGTAGGTAAGTTATCAAAGACAACCTCAGTGTATGAATTGCACTATGCATTTTTCTTAAATATAGAATCAATAGCACAACATGTCATGCACTTTCCATTGTTCACCATTTCCATGAAGGTGTGTGAGCAGTTGCAGCGATGTCAAACCGCCACCCTGGATGGTCTCCAAGGGCTCTGTGGGGCTCCCTTTACAACGTTTGCAGAATCATGACGTAAGCAAACCAACAAAAACACGTAAACAACAACCTGACGTTTTGCACCCAATTTGGAACTCAATTGAAAACATTTTCGGCACAGAAACTGCTACATACAGAGACAGACCAGGAAACGAACCTTCCAAACCCATGAAAGAAAGTGTATTTGGTTTTCTGCTTTCGCAAATATGCAAAAGCTTTTTCCTTTTTATGTAAAGTAATACTTGAACTTTGAAAAAGCAGCATTTATGACTAATATGATTTTTACAAAACTCGCAAACTATGTCCCAAATCAAACAATGTTCTATTAATCCAAGAATTAAAAATGAAAGTGTCTTGCTAAATAAATTGTATTAGTATAATTTAGGAAACCAAAATAGAATCTTTACTTCCTTGACTTTGATTTGTTTTTTTAAAGAGTGCTTTCAAAGTTTGAGGGAAAAATGATATTTCACATATGATACATTTTTTTTTTCAAGAATACTACATGCAGTGCAATTTTAAACAAAATCTCTGCTGGATTCAAAGAAAGAGCAGAGAAAGCACCAGTCCTGTTACCCTTAAGGGGAAAATAAGCTAAAGAATGGAAATGTTTTTAACTTCATGATGGATTATGTTTTTAATAGTTTTGCCACAACAAAGCATTTTATTGAAATGGCTGTGCTCTGCTGGATCGGGGCGCACACACAATTATTTTAGAGAGCTCCAACAAGAACCCACATTCCCAGATGAGAACTCAGATTCTTTGAGCCTTTCTGAGGGGGGAGGGAGGTAACTTACTTGTTTTTCAAAAGCTGTTGGCACTAACCGTCTCAACTCAGATAAACTGTTATTTATTCGATCCCGACGCCTTTTTTCTATTATCTGTCAGACAGAAAGCAAAACGAAAGTTTAAGGATACGCATTCAGTAACATCATTCAGGACAGGAAAACAGCAACAGAGATATGAGTAGTAGACAGCATGACATTGGGGGGGTACTTACCCCCCTCCTTTTCTTTCTTGCCATTATCTGAGAGGTGGTTGTTGGTGAATTTGACCGCATCACTGAGCCTGCACTTTGCCTGTGAGAGAGGAAGCCTATGTCAGGTGCTGCATCAGAGTAACAATTGTCCCCCATGCCCACACTCATGCTTCATGCTACCCATCAATATTCAGGTTCATTGCACAGCTCATGTCTATGTTATTGTTTCTTCCCCTCCCCCCTTAGTTTTGGATTCCTTTTTAGTTCCCAGGTAGCAATTATGCCTTTCAGAGAGAGAGGGAGAGAAAAACAAATATTAGTGAGGCCTTGTGATGGCTTAGCAAGTTAAGGCAATGGCCACGAAGTTTGACCATCTGACCTGAGTCCCATCCCTTGTACCCATGTGATGAAAGAGAACCGCTTGGATTTCCACAGAGGTGATGGTGACATGCACCTGGCCACAACACAGTAAATAAATGTAATTTTTAAAATGCCACTGGGTGATTTAACTGCCAATTCAAATGGGGAAAAAAATGAACCTGAACTTTTGAATTCTCCAATGAAATAATGATGGGCAGTTAAGGTGGGAGGTCAGAGATTAATATGTCCTATTTCTCCTCATATATTTCTTAAAGGTCAACAAGCCATCTGATAATATGCCTCCTAGTCTCTCCTGCCAGACATACTGAACATCACATGAGTCCCATGATAAAACAGTCACCACACGTCAAACATGTTTCTAAATGCCACTTTTAAAACAAACTTAATACTTATAACATTCCTAAATTCCAGCAACTCATATTTGGTAACATAAAAAGGACAGGTTTTAAGTTTTGCATATTAACCTTTTAAAAGAATACCCTAACCATATTATTGGTAGGGAAGTTAAATTTTGGTTTAGTACTTTGCATGCTTAGCTTTGAAAATGAAACTGTGTTACCAGCCTTTAAACCAAACCTGAATCTCCGGAAGCTGCAATTCACCTCGAGTTTACTAAGAGGTATTTTTATACTGAAAAATCCAATCAAACATATATTTGCCCACAGAGTTGGTTATCTAATGTATATTCTCCTACGTGTATACATTAGTATATGTCGCTTTGAGATTCACAGTTACTATGATATGGTCTTGAATTCTCCAGGTCCTATCGTTTGTTCTCTTTCATTTTAGGCGTTCTCCTATTACCCCATCTTCTCACTTCTGGATCTTAATTCAAAACCAACTGTCCGGTTCTTTGCCCCTTCTCTACAGGTTTCTTCTTTTCACATGACAGCCTCTGTTTGAATTTTCTAAGAGGAGACACTTCAACAATGAGATGAGCATCTTTTTTGCCCTGGCTGTTTTCAGGTTTTTATTTCTAAGTCTTAAAATAAGTCCGCGGGGGAAAAAAAAAAACATTTTTCTATAAGCAGGCAGGATTGTGCTCTTTGAGTGACAACTGCAGATAAATAATTAAGGTGCTCCCGGGCATGCCAATTAGAAGCAATTATCGTTTGACCCGCCTTGGCTCTAAAATGCCTGGGTAATCTCGCTGTCACAGGAAACTGGAGGTCTGTCTTCTGTGATCACAACGCCGATCTTTTGGAGACTAAAGAACAAGCAGTCAAAGCAACACTGCCTCGTCCGCTCCTTACGTCTGTCACTCGTGCGTGGGTCAGCCAGATCACTCTGTCAACCTGCGCAGCTTAGCTTGTTTAGCCTTAACAACGCAGATGCTTTAATTTCTCAGAAGCTCAAGTCGCGATCATAGCTTCTTCCAAAACAGAAATCCAGTTTTTTGTTTTTGTTTGGTTTTTTTTTCTTTTGTTTTCCTTTCCTCTCCTGACCTATTTTGGAACTGTCCCTAAATACAGTTCGAGTGGCGGGGGCGTCGCCCGGACGTGCCTGTGCGCGTGCTAGCGCTGACAGTCCGGGACCCTCCCTCGCCATCTCCTGCACGCTCTCTTCCTGTGGCGTCCCTACCTCTTGGCCCACCCGACTCTAGCTCCGGGAGCATTCATTTCTCGGGGACAACTTTCTCCTTTCCACCCAGGAGCCCCGGGATTTCCTGGGAGCTCCAAGTTCCCGACACTCTCCCGCTTCTGCGCGCTCACCCGGAGTAATTGTTCTCGCTTCCCACGTCGATGGTCTCGTCCATGTCGCTTTCGGAGGTCGTCTCCTCGCAAGGGCGCTTCATCGCGGCTGGAAGGAGCAGCCACCAACGCCGAGCCGGACGCAGCGCGCTCCCCGCGGGACTCCTCCCTCCCTCCCAGCCCGGCTCCTGCAAGCGCGGCTCCCAGGGCGGCGCGGTCAGCTCCTCCAGACTCTTTCCCACGCCGCAGCCCAGCCTGGGCGCAAGAGCTGGCGCCAGCCACGCCTCCCGTGAGGGCGGGGTCCCTGTGCTTCTCCAGGCCCCGCCTCCCGGGGACGGCGTGACTTCTTATTGGCTAAGATGGAGGGGCGGGCCCGCCCTGGCCAATGCCCGCAGCGAGGAGCCCCCAGAGGCGTGGGAACGCGGCCGCGCACCTAGGAGCCCGGCGGTGATTTGGGGCGGCGGGCGCGGACGCGCTTGGGGCGGGCGGGCTCTGGGGGTTTAGACCCTTCTCTGCACGCCACGGTCTCTCCCGCCTAGTTTCTATCCTGGGTTTAAAGAATAACCGCTAGCGCGTGGCTGAGGCGTGTGTGACGTTGGGGATGGGTGGGGGAGGTGGGGCGGCGAGGCGCCGCGACCCACCCCACTCAGCTGTCCCTCCTCTGGACCCAAGCTGCTGAGTGGCTGACCGCAGCGGTCACGTTGACCCTCAGGGGATTTTGAAAGCTTTAAATCAAAGTTGCTTTTCAGCCTGCCAACTCCGCAGCCGCTGGGTTGTGGGCAGATAAGGACGCGCGCCTACCGGTCCAGGTGCCTAACTTCAGGAGGTTGGCCCGGTGCAATGTCGGCCACTTCCTTTGTGTCTCCGGTCACTGGGACTGGGGTGCAGACCGTCGGAGTAGATGGTAGGCTAACTGTTGGGAAGGATTAGCAAAGAAGGAGTGATTTCAGGAAACAATCTGAATAGGTTTTCGAGTTCAAATTTCTCGGACTTGGTCTATCCAAATTAAATGTCCATCCCCCCGCCCCCCAATTCCTCAGCTGTGTGCAGCAGCAGAGTTCTTGAGCATCTGGGGCGAGAAGATTCGTTGGTCATTGAATTTGTTTTGTGAGGCGTCCGTGATTAGTAGTTGTTAGTGCCTGGACAAAATGGGTTGTCTAAATTCTAGGTGTGTTTTCAGACTTTATTTCCAAGCTGCTGCTTCTCTCTGCAAATGGCCTGACTTTTGACGGACGGACGTGTCTCCCTGTGCTCAGGAAGTGAGAAAGACGGTCTTGGGGGGAGCCAGGGCGTTCTCTGCTGTCTGGCGCTGCGGCGGCGCAGGGTGGGCTGGTGGCAGTCCAGCGGGAGACTCCACATGGGGCTCTGGGCCAGCTTTGCTTGGTGGAAAAAAGCTTCAATCAATCACCAAGGCCCTACACCTTGCACAGATGCTGATCTTCCTGGAAATCTAAGGCACCTCTTTGACATTCTATTCCCTGGCTACACTAGACCTGGCGGGGCGGGAGAGGGCAAGAGAAAAAGAGACAGGAAAAGAAAGATTGGGTGGATGGAGAGGTGGAAGGAGCAACTCCAAGGACCTGCAACTAGCCTAGTTATTAAAACACAAAACCCCTTTCCTACAGGCCTTGGTCTCCTTTGTGCGGTCCCCACCGCGGTGCCTTCAATAACCGTGTGAACAGAAATCTGAAACTTTCCGTCCTGACTTTTCAAACTTAACTCCAGGCAAATCACAAGGTCATCGGGGACCGGGCGGGGCCTGGCAAGGCAGGATGGGGCCAGCGCTGCTGGAGCGCAGAGCCCTGGGTGGCTGACTCCCCAGCTCGGCACTCAGTTTCTGGGCGGGCGCCTTGGTGCTCCGTGGCCGCGGGGGCCTTATCCTGGCCTCAGAGCAGATGGCTTGAGACTGCTGGTCCTATACAAAGCAGGCCAGCACCCTGTGGAACTCAGGCTTCTGCAAGGATTATCAATCCAGCTGAGGTGAGCCCTAAAGCCAGTAGGTTCCAAGCCTCACACTTTCCCAGCTGGAGTCTGTGCTCCCAGCGCTCAGTAGACTTCACCACCACCAACCGCCCCCACCCCCGCCCTGAAATTAAGGTTTACCACGCAAGCACAAGAGCAATTAGTGGGAGCTTCCAAAAGCCTGAAGCAAAACCTGAAATCATCACGAGGTAGATGGGGGACAACCCTAAGAGTTTTTTTTGTTTTCTTTCCTCTCTTACTACACTAGTGTATTTAATTATAATGATTGCGAAAAATTGCAGCGGGAAACGGTTTGGTTGTAATAAAGTAGCAACTGGTTAAAGGTTTTTTTTTCTTTTCATTTTGTCTTTAAAGACTTAAGCGCTGTGCCGTGTCATAAAAATATGTCAGGGACCTTCGAAAGCACGCATGGATTTAATGGTTAGAATAGTGAATAGTTTTTATTTTTATTTATTTATTTCTTTATTTTTTTTTTTTGAGCAACGAGGGTCATACATTGAAAAAGTTTAGAATAGTGCCTGGGATACCGAAAACGTGTTTAGTGCAGAGAATAAACGTGGCAAACGACACTTTATAATGTCCAAAGAATGATCGTTAATCTTTAAAATACTTAATCCTAACTACAGTGATTTCCCATTATAGTTGTGATTCTGGAGGATCCCTTTTGCCTGTCTACTGCCTAGGCGCCTTTTCTGTGTTGGGTCCTGCATTTGGGTCAGAGGTAGAAACAGAGGAAAGCACTTCAGCCCTACTTAAAACAAAACAAAACAAAACCAGCTTGGGTGGAGTGGGGAGGAGCTGGGGTGTCTTCAGCGGGGAGAAAGAAAGAAAGCTTTGGAACTTAAGTTTCTTCTCCCCTCTGCGACTTCGTTTTTCAGAGAGAGTGGCTGGAAAGCTTACTAAGAACCAGGGTAGAAGAAAAGACGTCCATGTGCAGAGCAATCTGCCTTTCTTTCCTTTTGAAAGATGTGAACAATGGGATAATTAGACCGATAGATACGGGGCGTGGGGGGGGGGCTGTCCTAGAAACGAAATGCCATTAGGAAAGAAAGACCAGACTGACAGATCTAAAGGGAAAAAGAGATGTAGACCCGGGCGGCCTTCCCTAAATTGGTCATCTGGTCCCTGGTGCATAAGTGATTTAGTTCGCTGAGTATAGAGAGGAGCAGATGAGAAAGCCCAGAGATCTGGGGGGTGGGGGGAGGACGACCGGACTCAGTGGTTCGCTAACCCTCCGGACCTACCTGTTTAGTGTAACATGACTCTACCTACTTAAGTTTGGAGATCTTGATGAAGTCTTACCTTGATCCTTAACTTTGAAATTTTAGCATACAAACTAATGAAGTGATTTTTACCCCGGCTGTCCTAAAAATTCCCTTGAAGAATTTTGGGAATGAATCATACACACACACACACACACACACACACAGAGAGAGAGAGAGAGAGAGAGAGAGAGAGAGAGAGAGAGAGAGTATTTCTTGTGCTGCCTTTTGCTTTCGTTAGAGTCTTGTGACACTTCTTTATTTGCTTTGAGATGAGGCTTACTATTTCTTCAAAACCAACCAACCAACCAACCAACCAACCAACCAACCAACAAACAAAACAACCACCATTGGAGCATTTGCTTGTTTCAGAGTCTGCAAGGCATGGTATCATTAAAAAAAATATTTAAGTTATGTTCCCTGCGAAGCAAGGGCAATTCTGTTGTTCAGAGACCTTACGTTAGTCTGAGGAGTTTAAATGCAGACAGTTCAAACTGGGAGTCCAGTGCTTCCCCTATTTGAAATGTTAGCATGGAGAAGTCCCCCACCCCCTCCCTGGGAGGGCAAGCAGTGCTATGTTACTTGCAATTGCCAAGCAGGTGATAAGCACGTGCTGATCTGCAGGCAGCCTTGTTGAGCTGTCTTGCCTGACTACGAGGCTATTGTTGAGTAGGCACCACCTTGAAGTGTGTGAGAATGCTGCGCCCTGGGAGTGGAGGCCAAGGGCAAGATCCTTGTAAATTTCAATCCCTTTTCAACCTCAGGCAGGCAGCAAGCAGGCCAGTCTAGGGTCACTGTGTGACACAAATATGTGAGCCAGTAAAACAACACAAAGCCGAAGGCAAGGGAAAGTCTAGGCCCACCAACCTTGAAATCATGTCTGCAACAATGCATCCTTTTAGCAAGAGTTCTTGCCAGGTTAGCTGCAGCACAGTGTGGAGGGCATTCATGGCTAGTTCTTCTAGGAGCTGTTGCTCACCACATCAGAAATGGGGGCGGGGGAGGGGGGAGGTCTAAGCTCCCAAACTCCCTTTGCTAGAAGTTGTGTTGTTTAGGCTGATCTATACCACAAAGGGGGAATCTACTTAAAAGTGTTTCCTTCATGAGGCCTTAGTGTTACGAGGACTCAGCACAGGCCCAGGGATAAAGATGGCTTTTATGGAAAGTCCCTTGAGAAGAGGGCTCGAGTATAGAAAGGAACCAGTTTTCCATACCCAAGTAAGCAATGGTCAGAAGACTTCAGCTTCTGTGTGTTAGCTACATTCTTCCAGGGGGCCAAATTGATGTTGACAGGTTTTTGTGTAAAGGAATGTCTTTAAATTTCTTAGTCCTTGATGCTGGTTTGACTAGCAGGTCTTCTCTCCCCTCTTTTATAGATGCAGGGAAATGTGTTTACTTCTCTCATGAAAATGATTCTTAACTGCATCCCCATCTCTAAAACGATGCCAGGCATATAGTGGGTGTATAACAGGTGGTTTGGAATGAGTTTCTCATTAAAAGTAATGAATCCTGGTTTGTCCCACAAACACAGAATTTAAATTCAGTGGAATAATAAAATAAACACGAGCTAAAAGGCAATGAAGATATGAAGTGACTTCTTAACCCCGAGCAGGAAAGAGCTAACTGTGAATGGGCTCTTAATTTAGTCTGGAGCATCCTAGTGTCCAAGGCAGACGAGAACCATAAAGAACTTTCTAATTTTTATATTGGAAAAGTGAACATGCTTAGCTTTAAACACACAACAACGACAAAACTTTATTCAGAAACCGTATTCTAACCAAATTGCCTGGCTGCCTAGGTTACAGACTTGAAACGTTGAATTATTTGAAACAATTATTTTCCTTGTCTAAAATTCTTTCCTAAGGATCTCTATTAGTTATAGCAGGAAAAAATAACACTGACAGGATGTATACATGGAAACAATAGCTCCAAATGGCTGAACAAACCATCCAGTAAGCTGTCAGGATTAATTAATTGGCATGAACAGAACCAGAGTCTCACGGTGCTCCGAAAAGTAGGATTCTCTGTCGAAAAAGGGCTTGCTTTCACTTTAAAAAAGCAAATTATGTAAGTCAAGGAGTCTTGAATCTGTTA